TCTCTCTCTCTCTCTCTCTATCTCTCTCTCTCTCTCTGTTCATACCTGTTTTTTTCTGTATTTTCAGGTGATATTTAGTTTGTGTATGAACAATTTTATTTGTGTGTTAATTGTCATAATTGTTTAATTATCATGCACTTGCGAAAATATGTTTTCTAAAATCACTGAAAACTTGTGAAAGTTAATTATTTATTTCTGGACGTTGTTAGTACAGAAAGATCATCCTTATAACACAACAACAACTACAAGTACTTTTATTTCCACATTTACAAACACAAAGGGTATGGTTAAAAAAAAAAAGAGAGAGTGTAACCTGAACAAATTCATAACTCATAATTATTTAAACATTTAAATGGATTTAAAGAGTTGACATTTCTGTTCTACTCCAGAATAAACTCTCAATCTGAAACAAGTTATTTTAGAGTAATAGTGTACTATTTTTGTTCAGTTGTCTGAGTCTTAAGTAAACGTTTTAAGTTTGCATGTGCAAAACAATAGGTACTGTTTGTCTAGGATATTGGACCACGATAGTCATTATTCATGGAAACATTCGTTCCATATTGGGGATTCCTTTTGTGTGTGATATCCTTACCTCCTTTACTCTGGACACAAGGGAATCCCTCATATGTGTCAAGTTTGATGAGTTTGAACAGACAAATTAATAGAATATTTAATATATAACTATAATGTGACACTAGGTTCATCTGAATGAGCTGCTACACAATTGTACTGTTATATTTATCATACACACACACACACAAAATCAGTTTGGTTTATTTGAACACGCTTTATTCGCTTCTATAAGAAGAATAAATCGGCAAAAAAACAATAACATTGTCATTTTTTAGGTATGTATAACGTGTATATATAAACCACGATCACAAAGATTGATTTGGCTTTTACAAAAACATTTCAGAAATTGTTCATACACTCATGCATTACTTCAAAGTTACAATATTTAGAGCATTTTGCTTGCAATAAATTGTGCGAACAGATTGCAGTTCAGAGTTGGTCATTTTAAAGGGGTCATATGATGTTGCTAAAAAGAACATTAGTTACACCTTCTTTCTTTGCGTGAACATTTGGGCGGCGTTATGCAAATCTTCCCACATCGTGACGTAGACATGTGGGGCATGTTAGAACGAGCTGTTTTAGGTAGGCGTGGCTGACTCTTAACTTTTATAAAGAATATCTCTTTGGATTTGAGACTTTAGTCTTTGCAACTTTACAGATCTTCTTTATGCACCAAGAGCTTGTAACACTCCAAAGAGAAAGGACGAATTGAAATCGCATCATATGACCCCTTTAAAGAGTTTGACTAAAGTGAAATTGTCCAAAGCGGTGATGTTTCTTTGCACATGTACAACCTAATGAGATTGTGACTGGTTTGACAGATAATATGAAGAGATTGTGATTATAAGTGCTCGGGCAGCTCTGTTTGAATAAAATTTTGTAAAATCGGCACTTCCTTGAAAGAACTTGGATCTCGGCACTTGTCACATGTGGCATTGTAGACTGTCGAAAGGCTGTCCATATCTGTAGTTAAGCTGTTGAAAAGAAAGAGTTAAAATGGTATTGAATTCCTACTGGCCAACAAATACTGTTAACGCAGTTAAAGCAACTTTATGTAGTTTTGTTTATTTTGGTGACTACGGTTAAGTGAGTGGAATTCGCTGTAGTATACAGCAAGTACCAATTGGGGCACAGTTTATGTTGCTGCTTTAAAGCAATCCTGCCACAATGCCATAAAGCGTTTTTGCAGAATTTCGCAAAACTTACAAACTCCCAGAAAAGACATTTAGAGGGAGCCTAGAAAGAAAGCCATTCGCCTTATTGTGGAAGTCAGTGTACCATCAGAATTTGATTGATCAGATTTTAAAACTGATATTTCAAGGTAAAAAAAAACAAAAACAAAACTTACACACAGTTGCTTTAAAGACAATTTGATTTAGTCATAAAAACATTTTGTAATCTGGCTGATGAGAATCAGCAATATGCTCAGTGAGGCCATAATAATTTTTTCAACATTAACTAGCTACAGACATAAGCACTGCTAAACCACTTTATTAAATACATTTAAATGACATGAAATAAAATGCAAAATATGAAATAATAGCAAATAACCTTATAAAGCTGTTCAATTAAATAGAAAATATGGTCCCACTTTATATTAAGTGGCCTTAACTACTATGTACTTACATTTAAATTAATCATTTGGTACAATGCACTTATTGTGTACATACATGTTTTTACATTGTACTTATATTTTAAAAATTACATGCATGTAATTACATCTGTAACTAATTTCTGAAAGTACATTTATAATTACACTGTTGACCCTTGCACCTTAACCCACCCTTAAACCTACCCATACCACCAAACCTGTCACTAACCTTACCCGTATCCCACCTCAATAGCAGCAAAAGTGTTTTGCAATACAATATGAACACAATAAGTACATTGTACTTATTTTATGTAAGTACATAGTAATTAAGGCCACTTAATATAAAGTGGGACCGAAAATAATAATTATGAACTAACAAAGCAAATATTTTGCATATGTGTCCTTAAAGGGTTAGTTCACCCGAAAATTAAAAGTCTGTCAGTGTGTGAAAAAAAAGAAATTTACCCGTTTCTTTCTTCTGTTGAACATAAACAAAGTGAACTATCCTTTTAAAACCCAACAGCCTCACATCTAATATTACTACACACAAGAAATATAGCATAAAAATAACGGAATTAATTGTAAGAACACTTACTCGCACTTCCAAGTAGGATTGGCTTTTCTTGAAATGTGTTCGTTCTGTCTGCAGTCTTTAAAGCTTATGTGCTTGAGTAATTGTT